AGCTATGCCAGGAGCCCCTAGTAGCTTCTTGCTCCTAGTAGCAATGCCAGGAGCCCGTAGTAGCTTCTTGCTCCTAGTAGCGATGCCAGGAACCCCTAGTAGCTTCTTGTTTCTGTCTGTACGCCCTTGGACCGTCTTTTCCTTCCCCGCTCAAGGTCTCTGGATGGCGCCCTGCCGCGCCCTGCCTCTCGCAGTAGTACGATGAGCTCCATGGATCTCAAACGACGGCGACGACATGTCAGTCGATGGGGTTTTCCCACGGAGCCACTAGTAACAAGAAGCTACTAGTAGCTCCTGGCATTACTACTAGTAGTAACATCACTGTGTAGATCACCAGGGTGGGATGGAGCACTACAGAATGGGTAGACATCCAGCTGGAAAATGTTGGGCTACAGATTCAAAAAAAAACTCTGAAAATTTTGACGCTCAAAAATTGCCACTAGAAAATGCCTGACATAACCTCCGTCATAAAATCGGACAATGCACCTTGAGGGTCAGGTCTTCCATTTACTAGTGGGCTCATGGGATTCAAGAAAAACTGCTACTTGGAGGTTGGGGCCATCAGATTTCCAGTAAATCTAGGCGGGGTCGGGTCCACCCATTCTCCAGTGAATGAGCGAACAAAAGCTTCTCAGTAGAGTGTTCTCATCGTATCTCAACTACTAGAAAATGGTGGGGGAATTTGAGCCACAAATGGGTTTCGTTTTCACGCGCTATCATCTCACTAGAAAATGGCAACTGTGGCAATCTAGCTTATCAATTTATCTTACTAAAAATTCCATTCATACCCCTCTTTCCTAGAAGATCAATGACTAAATCAATGTAAAAAATGGGTGGCTCTAGATGGCATTTTTTGTACTGATCATGAGTGGAAGAAAAACTATCTTCTAGTGGCCTTGAGGCCACCCAGGACCCTAGAGAAATTGCACACAGGGATCTAGTAACAAGAAGCTACTAGGGGCTCCTGGCCTTACTACTCAGAGCAAGGACGCTACTAGGGGCTCCTGGCATCGCTACTAGGAGCATCCTTACTACTAGTAACAAGAAGCTACTAGTAATAAGGGTGGTCCTCTTTGGTCCAACTGCCTTTGGACCACATCATGCCAAGACACATTGACCTTCCTCATGGCTTACGCAACGGCAGAGCGCGTAGCCTACAAGTGTGTCCTTTGTTGTGGATTTTCACGGAGGATAGAGGTGGGTTCCTATGCAAACTGCATGCTGATGCATGTGGTTACCATAGTGCACTAGAGTGTACTCCTTTCCCATTCAGAACGCTGTTCTGTAAACCTTCCCTCCAGTTGGAAGGGACGATTCCATGTGGCTGATATTTGCTTGAGCCTGGCACCCCATAATAATGCCCGTCGCGGGATGGATCAACAACGAAATTGAAGGGTTGACGGCTTTAGAAATCCAATGTCCGCCAAAGCACATCTCAACAAACAGCGAATTCCAAACGAACTGAAGCGACATCCCGGCGCATCGATGTCAAATCTCAGATGCCAGCCATCTCTTGGCTCCTGGCAGATTTCGAGATTGTAGTAACAAGAAGCTACTAGGTGGAGGCCAGTGCAGCCATGCGCAGCCAAAAAAGAAAGCTTTATTGTTACTAGTAGCGATGGCCTCCACTCTAGTAGCGACTTGCTGCACATGGCTGTACTGGTTAGAGAGATCTTCCAACTGCAAACAAGACTTCGCGCAAGCAGTGCTCCTGCCAGCAGGTGCATTGGAAACTGCAAACAAATCCATGGAGAATCGCATTGTAGTTCTATCATGTTCTATGACACACTTGATCTGCCCTTTTCAGTTCTTCGCCTTTTTGGACCTTTATTCGAATGGTCCTGTCCTTTCTTGAACGCTGTTTGTTTTCTAAGTTACTATGTGTTGCTGTGTGTTTGGACAATGCTGTTGGTCTGTTGCTCGGGACTCTCTCCTAAAACTCCAGTCCGTCCCGAACTGGCTCGCCCTCGGTGTCACAGTGAGCCAAACACGACGGATTGTGACAGGTCCTAAAAATAACTAGTAGCTTCTTGTTGCTAGTAGCGATGGCTCCAACCTAGCAATGGCCTCCACCGTGCGTAGCTTCACCGTCTCCGAAGATAGATAGACATGTCCAGACCAAGTTCCTACTCGTAAAGTGGCCAGGCGCGGTACGCCTTATGCATTGCCTTTCTCACTGATGGCGGGCTCTTTTGGCCTTGCTTCCCCAGCCGAAGACAATGAGCTTCCGGGCCAGGCTCGGGTTCCTGGCGATGAGAGCGTTCAACGTATCCTCCGGCGCGTTTGCTAAGATGTTGCCATCAGATTCGAGCATCTTCCAGCAGGCAGTCTGCAGTTCGCCACTGCTGCCATGAATCGCGCTTAAAATCTGCAAGACATTCTCTTCACTAAGCATCTCCTTCAACTCTACGTCCACTCGTTCCACCAAGGAAGTGATGCAGAAACGATCCGCCACCTCTCGTACCGACATTGAGGTCTCCAAATCTTCAGTTTCAAAGACATCTGTCAAAATAAAACGTAGAATGGCCGAGAGATTCTTCAAGGTCACTCTTCCATCATCGCTGAAATCCACCTCTTTGCTTCTACTCTCGGCCCATTCATCTGAGGTCAGCATCCGTTGAAAGTATTCAGACCGAGCCATTAGAAGCCGCTGGTCAAAGAAGAGCTGGCCTACATAGCAGGGGTGGGATCCACGCGTTGCACAAGTATCAGCTATAAGCTATCCATGCCCGGTGATTGTTACTAGTAGCGTCCTTGTTCCTAGTAGAAATACCATGCTAGTAGCTTCCTGTTACTAGTAGCGATGCCCTTTGTTGCTAGCAGCGTCCTCTTGTTACTGCTTGCGATTAAAGAAGCGAGGATGAATTTGAGTTCTCGTGTCACTTTATCTACAAAAACGAAGTGCATGGCCTGTGACTGTGGTTCGGAAGGTGCCCTTAGTTGAATGATATTTGACATGTATGGTCAAAATTGTACTATGTGCGGCTGTTGCATCCTCAGATTTGCGAGCCCCCTGTCGTTCCTCAATGTTTTGGAACCTTGTTAGGGTTATTTTTGTGAGTCCCCTATCCTTTGTGAGGCACATGAACGCAACGCTCTTATGCAATCGTCATCGCAAACGTTGAAGGCAAAGTTAAATAGATCGGATCATTTTTCCGGCATCCCACATACAGCCACATTTGGACTCGAGCCTCCGGGCAATCGAAATGTGATGACTGCAAGCTCCTGGGAAAAGTCCAAGTGTCGAAATGGCTCCAGAGTCGAATTCCCACTGCGTGCTTCGAGAAAGGGCAGGTTCTCCACTTCAGCCCGAAGCCAAAACTCACCGTCGCTGCCCATGTAGGCCCACAGGTGCCAGTTATCATCGCCCGGAAAAAGGTCATGCCAGCCACGATCTTTGGTTTTGTTCGAAAAAGTGAAGGTTTCAGACTTGGTTCTTGGCACCTCACCCTTCTGGCTGAGAAGTGAGATGCTCACCTTCACACCTTCACAGCTCCATTCGGAGATGCTTTCGGGTGGTAACACCTCCACAAACGCGGACAAAGGGATCCGATGTTTTGCCAAGCTGGTTCCAGCAGGATAGACAGAAAGACGACATTGAAAGGAGCCCTTGGGCCCTACAGCTGGTGAGTAGACTGGGCTGCCTGGCAAAAGCACTGTTGAGTAGAGATTCTTTCCAACCTACTAGCCATGGCCTCCAACCTAATAGCGATGGCCTCCAACCTCATAGCGACGGCCTCCAAATAGCGATAGCCTCCAACCTACTAGCGATGGCCTCCAACCTTCCCAGTAGCGATGCCCTTTGTTCCTAGTAGCGTCCTTGCTCCTAGTAGTACGGCCAGGAGCCCCTAGTAGCGTCCTTGCTCCTAGTAGCGATGCCCTTTGTTCCCAGTAGCGTCCTCTGTAGTGTTGCAAACTTTTATATGTCGGTGCATGTCAGCGCCTGGTTACTTGCCTCAAATCCAGCACCTGGTCTTGCCCACATTGAAGATGGTAAGTGAAGGTAGAAATTATCCAGATTCCTTCTTTTCTGAAGGCAGTGTCGATATTGGAATAGGAAATAAATTGCAAACGATCTTGTTTGAACTCGAGAATTGCGAGTTCTTTCTTCGACATGTGGTTTGAAGAATGAATCAAGGCTAGGTCGGTGCTTGGCGCCAGCCCTATAGACTAATCATTTACCCTAGCCTCTGGAATAGGTGGAACGGTCTTCCGTCTTGAACTCCGGGATCTGGATCCGCATCTCGATCTTCGCCATGGTGCGATGCGATGTGAATGTTGACGCGATGTCGTTCCTTTTTCAGGCTAAGAAGTCTTGGAAGTTGGTCGGCTCAGGGGAACCGACAAAAACATGTGCAAAAAGGTACCGGCCCGTACCAAGACCTTTTATTTGTTGTTGTTCTTATGGTGATTCAACAAGCAGTTGTTTTTTTTCTGATCAGATACGTAGTGGGAGCAATCTCCTGCTGTGACCATGGTTCTTATGACGTAGGCTGCCCGCCCTGGCTCTCTTTCTCCACAAGCCACTTGGCTCTCTTTCACGGTGAGGCAAAAGTGTCGGGGAAACATCAATGTCCATTGCGTTCTCACATCCACTAGTAACTAGTAGCAAGTGCATCGCTACTAGTAACAAGGGCATCGCTACTAGTAACAAGGGCCTTACTACTAGTAACAAGAAGCTACTAGGGGCTCCTGGCCTCGCTACTAGGAGCGATCGGATGCTACGAACGGGGCTCCTGGCCTTACTAGGAGCAAGAGCGCTACGAACGGAGCAAGAAGCTTTTCAAGGCGCCGCATTCCCAACTTGCAATCAGGCCTTAACTAGCAAGCATTTGCAGTCAAGGGTGTTGAGGCTATCACATGCCAGCCTGGTACACCTCAAGCGTTGAGAAAACAAGCAAAAATCAATCCAAGGTAACCCCAAGAGACCAGAGTATTGCAAAATGACAATTTCTCTCTCGGTCAAGTTGCATAGTCGACCTCCAAGGTCTTCCAGTTGGCATTGGTGAGACGCTCTGCTACAGCTCAGAGCAACGCGCGATGTCGCACGCCTCTTCCAGCACATTGTGCAACCCGTTGTTGCACAACGGACCGTACGGTCGGGCTATCCACTAAGACCGACTCCGAAAAACGTCTCCCATTCGAGGAAGTCCTGGTTTCCAACGTGTCCAAACGTCCAAAAGATCTGAGTGTGTCCAATGTAAAGTAGAAATCAAATAGAAACATTCAGGTTTGTCAAATAGAAAATGTCCAACCAGCCAACCACTGGGACCAACGCATGTAACGGAGAGCGTTGGCTCCCGTTGGCTCAATGTAACGGTGAGTCAAAGTGAGTGTGGACCTCTCCACGTTTTCGAGATGGTCAATGTATGTTTGAAACACGTGTGAATTGAAAACTAATAGCAATGGCCTCCAATCTACTAGCTTCAATGGCCTCAACACATGTTTCTCCTTTGTTCAAAAGGAATGTTTCGTTGACTGGGAAGCTGGCACATGTCGCAAAAGAATGCAAAAGACAAGTCTGACCATCCCTTGTGCGTAAACAAGACCCCTACTGCTTGGCAGCACAGACTCCGGGAACAGGCTCTTCAATGCACCGATTTTCAAATGATGAGGGCGCAAACCGGGACACCCCCTTTAGGCCCTAAGCCGGAAGGAGTCCCGTCAGCAACTGCAGCAGAGCTGCAGAGCAATCCAGAAGAGGTCGGAAAAATCATAAGGCGCTAAACATTGTGCAAAGAGGGGCACATGCGGTGCCGTACAGGATGGTCACTGCTCAATCACAACGCATGATACGAAATTGAGTACCCATCATCTCATAGTGTCGGTTTCCACTCCGCAATCAATTGAGCATCGGCAATCCAGTGCCCTGTTCCTTTCAGGGCTGCCAGGCCCGCCCAGGGCGCCAGGGCAGGCCCGCCAGGGGGGTCGTCGGGCTTCGAATTGAAAAGTGGTGAAAAGGCTCTGCGAAAGCCGCGCCGGCCGAGGCTCTACTGCGAAAGCCACTGCTCAGGTCAGGAACGTGTCTTCGTATCCGTCATTGAGTTCGACTCCAGCCTCCAAATTGAAAAAGAGGCTTTTAAAGGGCCAGGTTGAGGGCTAAGATATAGCGAGAGAGAGAGAGAGAGCGATTTAAAAATGTGTGTAACTCAAATGATCGACCTCTACTAGAAGAAAGAATAAAAAGTCTTGAAAAGCTATTTGGAAATGTTCAGACAAAACGCGTCCAAACACCATTACTACTAGGAGCAAGGACGCTACTAGGGGCTCCTGGCCTTACTACTAGGAGCAAGGATGCTACTAGGGGCTCATCTCTGAGAAATTGACACGCCAACAGCCTAACATCTCAAGGCGAACGTCTCAAACCGAGCTCTTCACGTCATCGCGCGTCATCGAGGTGGAAACGAAGAAAATCTGTGCCAAGGCACCTCATCGGTGGATACGGTGGACACCGTCACCTAATAGCTTCTGTGGATAAAAAAAAAGAAACGTTCAGACCAATTTACTAGCGATGGCCTCCACCCTAATAGCTTCTTGCTACTAGCTTCTTGCTCCTAGTAGTAAGGCCAGGAGCTACTAGCAGTGTCCTTGCTCCTAGTAGCGATGCCCTTTGTTACTGGTAGCCATGGCCTCCGTCCTAAGGGCCTCCTGAATGATGTTTTCCATGGCTCGACCATCACCCCCATGTCTCAGGGCGGTCTTACCCCCATGTCTCGATGCAGCTAAGAAACTTCTCACCTGGCGCAAACTGCACAGTGGGTCCATTCAACTCTCGTGTCGAAAACGGGGAATCGGTTGGAGGCCATCGCTATTCTTCTCTTGCGCACAGAGCGATCTCGATATCTCGCAAGATACAGAAAAAAGAGGATGGAGGCCGTTGCTAATTACCACATGCAACCCACGAGGAGGCGGGAGGAAGAACGGCTGACACGTCGTTCTGGGAGGGAAACACGGCTCAAAACATCCACGGACACGTCCACCTTGTTCATATTGTGGTCCAGCACCTGCCAAGACGCTACGAACGGAGCAAAGGGCATCGCTACTAGGGGCTCCTGGCCGTACTACTAAGAACAATGTTTGCTATTAGAAACAAGAATGCAATAGAATTGAAATTGAATTAGACATAATTAGACTATATTGTGGTCCAGCACCTTCGTGTTCTTCGCTAGCTGCGCGAGATCTGCCTCGCAGAATAGGCGAACAAGTCTACCCTTTCACAAGTCGGCCTTTCTCACAGACGTAGCTCGACGCATCTGTTTCGGCCTTTCCCAGTGGCAGTTCTGTTTGCAAGCCAACCTGGGTCGATAGGGTCGATGTGAGTTCCTCTCCTCTCGAAAGCATGTGGGACCTGGGCACCATGTTGAAGCCTTCGATCCTAGTAGCTTCTTGCTCCTAGTAAGGCCAGGAGCCCCTAGTAGCGTCATTGCTCCTCGTAGCTCGACCTTTCGAATCTGCAAAAAATGTGAGCCAAATCGTGCAGCCAGGGCAGCAATGTACGGCAGTTCCTCGCCCAAAGTGGCGCTTAGCTCAATCACCTGGAGCAAAGCGATCAAGCACAAGCGATCCTGCAGAAACGATCAAGTCACATTTCCCCAGGAGCTACATCAAGCACAGAACTTCAGTCCCTTTCACAGGCACGCAACTCCACCCACCTTTTTGCGATGTGGTTAGTAACAAGAAGCTTGTAGAAACAAGTGCATCGCGACTAGTAACAAGTGCCTTACTAGTAGTAACAAGTGCATCGCAAAAAGCGTCCTACTAGTAGCCAGGAGCGCCCCTAATAGCGTCCTTGCTACGTTCGTAGCGTCCTTGTTCCTAGTAGCGATGGCCTCCACCTAATAGCGTCCCTTGTCCCTTCCGCAAATTAAGGGGTATCATGACATGCTCAGTACAGGTCGCCGATCGAAAAAACTGACCATGAAAGGATCTCTAATCCCGTCACAACTTCTTTGCCAGGATTGCTGCGATTTGCTCTTCTCATATGTAAACCAGGCCTTCATGTAGAACATGTTGTTGAACAAACTACCGTCCTGCAAAAAAAAATGCGACAACAAGGCCAGGGAACAAGCTTCAAAAGCATCAGCGCCGACCATGCAAAATACATATCCAGTTGTTGATACTGTTGTTTGAAGCTCCTTACGAGCATTGACCTGGTAGCAAAATAGCTCGTCGCCCGCTCTTCCAATCGGCATCCACTCTTCTCTTTCTTTGTCTGGGATCCTTCACAAGACTCCAAATGGAAGAGAGCGAAAAAGAGAGCACTGAGCTACGAAAGATGCAAAGCTTTTTTAAAGCAACTAAGATGAGCTTCAGTTGAGTGTCACGATGTGTACACCAATCCCCCACGGTTCTTTAACATCTTCAACTCACGTTTTGGAGCGAGCCTGAACTGTTTGCCCACTCGAACAGCTTCACAGAAGTCCTGGACAACACTCGAGCATTAAACATGGCCGAATGAAGGATGAGAGCATTGAAGGGCCCTTACGTGTTTTCTCTAACGGCTGCACGAGTGACCTATTCGTGGTGGCGGTCCTTTGCATGCCTGCGCATCTTCCAGTCGACCTTATCTCGAGGAACCGGATCCACCAGGAAGCGGCAATTCCTCACACGACGGTTTGACGGAAGCCTAACGGCGCATTTGTTACTAGAAGCGATGCACTCGTTCCTACTAGCTTCTTGTTACTACCAGTAAGGCACTTGTTACTACTAGCGGTGCACTTGTTACTACTAGC